TGCGTCTCCGCCCCAGTCATCCCCTTAGTGAAGATGAGATGATGACTCCTTAGGGTCCTCTACCCTAAGGTGGGTGTGCCCCTTTCAGTGACCTGCTGGTTAGTTTCATGCTCTGTCCTGGACAGCTGTGACTCTGCTGATTTGAGTCTGTTGTCCCGCAAAGAAAGTTGTCTCTTCTCCTTTCTGGATGGTACCCTGACGCCGCGGGGAGGTTATAGAGAGGCTGCTGGCTGATTCGTGACCCCTGTTAATGATCTCCCTCAAGGCCGATTGAAGCTTAAGGGGGTATAGCTGTAAAATGAAAAAAAAAAATCCATATGAATGGGAGCAAAGGCTCGCTTTAGCTTTAAGAAAAAAAAAATCTTCCATCATCTGGGGTTGAATGCTGATGTCCTAATCACCAGTACTTGGCATTTCTATAGTTACCTCTATTCTCTGAATAGTTCAGCTCTTGGGTAAACTGGCCAACTTGCCATCTACCTATTCTTCTCTGGAATGAATTGAAACTTATTCTTGAATATAAAAAAAGGTGCTAATAGAAATTCTCATCCACTCCGCATTCATTTATTGAGCAGCTTCTGGCTGAGGGAACGAACTCCGTGCCAGGAACTCAAAGACAGCCCCCCCCTTGCAAAAAAAAAAACAACAAAAAACACTTGATTTTTTTTTAAATGGAAGCAGGGTTTTAACACCTGTAGATCGACCTGAGAGAGTCTTGTATTTGACTGTTGTGATGGGGAATAAAAAGTGTGTTTCTAGAGGTAATCTGAAATGGTGGAACGCCCAGTTAAGTCTAGAGAAATTAGATTCAGTCTGGGGAGTACTGTCTTGGTATTCCCAGTAGTACTTGAATTATTGACTCACTGAATTCTACCGAGGAGATGATTATGTAAATTATTTTTCATACATACATATATGTGTGTGTATGCATGCATGAACATATACGTATAGATACAAATAAATAACATTTAAGAGTTTATAAAAATCCTGTGAGGTGTATAGGGCAAATCTTAATCCCATTTCACAGAAGAGGAAACTGAAGCACCGAAGTTAATGCCCAACTCTTGAGTGTTAGAGTCAGGACTTAAATCCAGGTCCTTCTTGTAGTCTTATAAAAATAATGCGTCTGTGAAGAGACAGGGAGTGTAGGGGATAGTTGCAAAGGCTAGATTTAGCTAATATGTCTTCCCCACTCCTGCAGAAATGACCAGTCCATTGCACTGTGCCCCGCACCTTTGGTTCCTGATCGAGTTACCGCTTTACAGCATGTCAAAATGACTTTCAGTTTGGGCTTGTATTTAAATAAAGTAAAGTAAAATGCACCCTTATTTCTTCCATATCTATGTCCATGTCATCTCAGTAATAAGTATTGAATAGCTTTTGTTGTTTACTTGGGTCTTGCTTTCAACACACATAGTAAGTGAGCAGTCAGGCTTCTGGAGCAGGCAGCCATCCATCCATCCAGCAAATGACTTGAATCCTAAATTCAGCTTACTCTCTTTGGCCAGATGCCGGCCAGCCCAGCAAGCATATATTAATCAGTGACTGTGTGTAAGAAGCTACACGTAGGTGCTGAGAGAAGCACTTGCTTCTCTGATTGTGTGTGTGTGGGTGGCTGGGGGGGTGGTGGTGGAGAACCCGAAGGAAAGATGAGTCATAATTAAGGGCATAGGAGGTCAAAGAGCAAGGGATCACTTATAGCCTGAGAGCTGGAAGGGACAGATCAGGAAACTGAGGTTAGGAGACAAGGGACTTGCCTAAGATGACACAGGTAACAACTAAAGCCAGGATCTGAAATCAAGTCCTTTGAGTCCAAATATTGTCCACTACCTGGGGGAACAGAGGCATGCCATAGTTGTTAGGTTTTTAAAAATAATTTTTAAAAAATGAAACAAGGAGTTTGTAGAATTGATACTAATTTACTTAGGTTGACACCTGGCATAGTGCAAAATACCTGTTTGATCTTGGGTTAGGAGGACATAAGCTTAAAAGAAAAGTTTCCTGTGATCACAAGACTTAATATGGTCATGCCTTGTCCATTTAATTTTAGAATAAACCACAATTATGTCCAGTAGCTCAGGGGTGTCATTCATGACACAAATACCTATTAACATTTTTTTTTTGTAAGTCTCAGTTTTCAATGCCTGGTAGTGTGGGATAGGGATAGAGGCCACAAGTCCCATCTATGGTGCTAACTGCCTAACTGTCTCTCCTTAGTGCCCCAGGCAGCTCTCTTGGCTATAAATTTCCCAGCGTTTACTGACCTTCCTCCTTGAGGACAAGTCCTTAACCTTAGCTATCTAACGGCAGTGTGGCCACAGGGAAGCCATGTTCTGGACTTGAGAGTCTGGCATAAAAGGTCTGGGTTCGAATTGTACCTCTGAGACTTTTAATAGCTGTGTGATCATGGGCCAGTGTGGAGCAGTGCAAACTGGATTTGGAGGACCCCTGGGTTCAAAATTGGTTCAGTCTCATACTCCCTGTGGACCTTGGGCAACAGTTCAGCCTTTTTGGCCTCAGTTTCCTCATCTGTAAAAATGCAGGATCGATTAGATGGCCTTTGAGCTCCTTCCAACCTTAAATTTTATTTTCCTCCAACTTCAAACCACTGACACCCAGAGCCCTTATCTACAACATTATAAATTATTGCTATCATACTTGGTGAAGGGAGTTGCCCACACATTGACTCTCAATAATATCTCCCATTTATATGGCACTTGGGTACAGGTCTATTATCTTTATTTCACACATGAAGAAATTGAGGCTCAATTAAGTTGTATGTTCCCATAGTTACCCACTTAGAAAGGAATGGATTTAGGCCTTTATACCAAAGCCTTGTGGCTCCAAAACTGGAACAGGGCTTTCTGACCTTCAGTTTTTGTTTTAAGTGGGCTGGGGTTTTTTGCTTTTTGTTGTTGTTGGGTTGTGTTTTTTTTGGCAAAAAAAAAATAGGTGGATTTTACCATATGTTATTTGTCTTGATTAGACTGTAAGTTCAAAGTAGTTTTTTTTTTAAGTTACTTTCTGGAGCTTTCAATGGGTAGTCTAATATCAAGACCCTCCCATAGTAGGATATATGTATAGACATTTTCAAAGATCATTTTTAAAAAAGTGAGCAGCATTTGAAATCACAGATTGGTTCATTTAGGACACGGAATGCCTTGCTTGGTTTAAAAATCTTGTTCTTTACGCAGGCTCGTGACAGCACCCGATTTAGGAAGGGATTAAAACAGTAGAATTGCCTATGAGGAGTTATTCTCAGCAGCTAATAGTAGTTATCTGTAATGTCATAAAGTATCTTCTACTATGGTATGATTTTATACCCTTGAAAGCCTTGTATCCAAAGAAGCTTGGAGCTGGTTTATAAGCTCAGAATTCCTTTTACAGCTACTCAGGCAAACAGTCCTGGGGCTACGGGTTAGAAATAGCAGGGGCCTCATGAATCCTTGCCCTTTGGCAAAGACTACATTTCTTGTTAGGAGGGAAGATTGGGCCCATGGAAAGAGCTGAAGGATTGGGAGTCAGAGGGACCCAGTTCAAGTCTGGACTGTGGCATTTAATGCCCATCTGACTTTGGGCAAGTAATTTGAACCTATCTGGGTCTCAGTTTCCAAATCTGTAATTAAACTCCAAGATCTCTCAATGATCTTATTAAGGAAAGTAAAACTTGCCTTACTAATAGAAAAATGAGATGTCAAAAGGGGGTGTGTGTGTATAAATTGGTATAATGAAAAGTTTATAAGTGTGTATTTCAGATTTCCTGTGGGATTAACTGTGACCTTTGTAATCATGCTGGATTCTTAGGGGTCAGGAAGACCTGTTTAAAATCTGAGCCTCAGTTTCCTCATCTGTCCTATGGAAGGCAGTATCTTTTGCTTTTCTTTGTATCTTCAGTCTTTAGCAGTGCCTGGCACATAGTAGGGGCTTATTGACTGACTAAGAGAGCTGACCTTCAGACCCACCTGTGACATATTTTGTATCAGAACGAATAGCTCTTGTGAGGATCAAATGTGATGTATCTACAGGGTTTTGCCAGCCTTAAAGAGTTAAATAAATGTCAACTGTTAGTAGTTAATCACTTCAAGGTTTTTCTTATACTTTCTAAAAATGTTGATGCTTTTTCTCTCATCCCAGTCATTTCAGAGAAGTCTACCTTTTCACTCCAGAGGGAACTTTGAATGAATGAGATGAATGAGAAAAGCATTTATTATAAGCACTGAGGTCTGGGAAAGAAAAGCAAATAAATAGAAATACCCTACATAATATATTTCTCAGCATCTTGTGCTTTTTATCTGTCTGAAAACTATTCTCGCCAGTTTGATTTGAACTCAGGTCTTTCTCTGATAAATAATAATAGCTTACATTATTAATAGTGCAATAGTAGTATTATAATAGGAACAGGTACCTTGCACAGAGTAAGTGACTAATAAATTTTTTTGTTGTTTAGTCATTTTTCAGTTGTCTCTGACTCCGTGACTCCATTTGGGATTTTCTTGGCAAAGATTCGGGAGTGCTCTGCCATTTCCTTCCCCAGCTCATTTTATAGGTGAGGAAACTGAGGCAGAGAGGGTGAAGTGACTTTTCCGGTGTCACCAGCTAGTAAATGTCTGAAGCCAGAGACCAGCTTTGAATTCAGGAAGATGGGTCTTCCTGATTCCAGGCCCCAAACTCCACCCACTGTGCCACCTAGCTGCTCCTAATAAATGGTAGTTGATTGATTTTTAATTAGAGGAAACTAAATCTGTGGAATGAAAGGCTTATGAAATAGAGAGATCTAGCAGAAGTCATCAGAATCATGCGGAAATATGGTGAGGCATGTATAATCTTTGACTTTCTGCCTGCTGTGGAAGTTGGTGTGGTACTTTTAGTGAACCTACGTATTTCCAAGGCACTACAAAGTAATTTTGTCCACCTGTGTCTACAGTACATCAACTGTAGAAGACAAAGAGCCAGATAGTAAGTAACTTGTTCCCCAGGACATCTGAACTGTATCGTAAAAGATGGGAACTAGATGAGTAGCAGTAATGGTGATGATAAGAACTCGTAGTGAATGAGTGAACAGTGGTTCATGCGTACATGCGCATACCCATACTGTTCCTTCAAACAGGCTGGCAGAACCAAACAGGCAAAGGAATCAATGACCCTGGGCAGGAAGCCAGTGGCCAGACTTCTTCTCAGAACTTGGGAAGCAGCTGAACTGCTCAGCCTGTTGAATAATTGGACTTAAAGCTCTTCTTTCCAGCACTCACTTTGAAGCTGCTTGATAGGATGACTTCAAAAGCTATTTAATA